CTGTTACATCAAGAGACAAAAGAAATTATGTCATAATGAAAAAGATCACTTCTGGATCATATGAAATGTGAGTATTTAATATGTTCTTCTCCTTACTAACTTCTATGTATCTAAAATTTAGCAACAATAACAACTTCATAGTTAATTTTGATGCCCACTCCAAGTTAATTACTTTTACTTTAAGGATCCAACTTTAATACGCTAAGTCTTACGCATTAGTATTAAAAAGTTTTCTGAAAGTTCTGATGTATATTTTGCAGACTTCAAAACTTATAAACATAATTCACTGTTTAAAACAATGAGCAAGAAAGAGCAAAAAGGTAGTCATGGTGGACTGAAGCAGCCATGGACAACCAGAGGACTGGTAAAGGCCACAGAGTTGGGTCAGTTTCTGGTGGAGGCCCCCACTTCTCTCAACCACAAGTCTTCCTACCTCCAATTTGACCTCCCTCTTATTAACTATCCTCCAAAAAACAGCTAGAGAGATCTTTCCAAAGTACACACTGGAACAACATTGGGTTACTCCCAAAAGGACCAGTGAAGCCCCCTCCTCAGGGGGATGATGCAGGCCTCTCTATGGGGCTCCCCCAGCCCACCTCCATGTGCTCTTCATGGTGCCCCAAACCCCTCACCTCCATGGGAATCTTCTGCCTTTACTCTATGCTTGGATCTAAGGACATCTCCTCCATGAGGCATTCCGCAATTCTCTCAGAATTAATCATTGCTTCCTCTGGAAGCCTCTGCATCACCCTGTTTAATTTCTCCTGCAGAGCACCTAGCTATGGACAGTCTACCAGAGAACTAAGAGAAAGGGTTAGTGTCCCCCCAAAACACAGGCTGTGTATGTTCAACTCTGTATGCCTGATATTTATGAGGGCCTAGAATACACTGGGTTCCCATGAAATGTTTGTGGGCCGCAGTCATCATGTCTGTACTTTTAAAGTTCAAATCTATGAGAAAGTCTTACACATTTACGACAGTAATTTTTCTTTTGCTAAAATTAAAATAAAAGTCCACACGTTGGGGGTGAAACTGGCCTGCAAACAAGCACTCTGAGAACCACTGCAGTTAGCAGTGCAGAGCTGACCTTTGGAACATATTCTAACAGATTTTTAAGAGAGAGTTTGCAGCTAGGATGACTCATCTGTGGGCGTGACAGAAGAATGACCGCTATCTCTATGAGGCTTTTCTTCAGGGGAAAAGCAGAGAGCAGTCCACAGAACTTAGAGCATGAGCTTCAGTGGGACTGGCCAGTGGGACTGTCCAAAGGCTGACAGGAACAGCATGAGAGTTGTCTCCTTTTCCTTCTGCCTAAACTAGGGTGGTTTCTCAAACTCTATTCCATAGAACAGCCAAAGAGGACATGGCTACATATGTGAGAGAGTGAGCTTCAATTAGAACAGTTTTTACTCATTCATAGACTGAAGGTTTTATTAGAATTTCAATTTGAAAAATGAGTTCTGCTGCCTTTCAAAAAGAATGTCAAACCAGTAGCCTCAGGGATTGTGCCACACTCTTCCCTGGGAAGTAAGGAGAGGCTTAGAAGTAAGAAGATTCACAAGGAAGCTGCACAAGCCCCTGGGCCCAGGTGTGGACACAGAACTTTTTCAAACTTTGTGGGAGGACAGGGAAATGTGAGCATGGCTTTGGTCTCCACAGGAGAACCACAGACCTGTCTGCCCCTCTGATTTCGAACATGTGGAACAGCGATAACCAGCCTGGTGGAGCGAGAGTCCACCAAGGACAGACCCTGGGATGGAGAGTCATCAGTCACCTTTTCCAGGAAGACTCCAATATCTTCTTCTGCAAAGTACAGCATGTCATGTAATCTTGGGTACTTTTTCCACCCCAAACTTCTTGCCCAGAAGCTACCCTTGTTGCCTTCTGGGATGACTTCATGTTCGTGTTATGAGTTTATTTCTTTAGTTAGCATGCTCTCAGCCCCAAGATGAACTCCAAGAGTCTCCTCCCTATCTCCTCACCAAAACCCAGCCGAGTGCAGATGGGGCAATGAGCCCAACCTCTCCAAGAATCAACAGACTGGAGGCTCATCCTTGTACCAGTTGATCAGGACGATGAAGGATGAAAAATGTCCACAGAAGGCAGGAGCAATATTGCCATCAAGCAGGTAAAAGCCACCACTCTCCTACAACTGTTGCAACATCCTCTGAGTTGGTGACACAGTGGTTCTCCAGCCAGGACCATCCCCTAAATTACTGATGATCACTATGGTGTCAGTCCCAAATGAAGTCCAAATTCTGGCCAACTGCTCAAAGGGAAAACATGGGCTCCCAGTGGCGAGCCAGTAGCAAGTCTGTACACTCAGCTCCAAGAAGCATGGGGAGAACCCGTGATCTAAAGTGTGTTGGTATGGCGCCTTCTGCTTGAAAACATCTTCCCATCTCCACTAGATGAAAGCCCACGGCAAAGGAAAGTAGTTTAGAATTCAGGAGGATTTGAGTTCAGACTCTGCCTTAGCCCCTTACTAGCTGGGTGACCGAGTCTCACATTGTAGTGAGCTCAAATGAGAGAGCATGTAAGAAGCTCTGTACCAAAATAAAACTGCTGTCTTTTAATTCCCAAACTCAGAAGCACATTCTTTATGAGCCCATCCCTAAGATTCCCTGCACGTTTCATTGTGGCTCTTTATGCTAACCCCAGTGTGCCCTAGGTTTCACATTCCCATTCACACGGCCAGCACTGTAGAGGGAGTTGGCTGCTGACTTCCCATCAGGATGAGCTCTATGCCTGGAACCCTCAACCCGTATTAGCTGATGGAAAAACAAAAAAACTCCAGTTCCAAGAATAATGTGGTAGGGAAAAAGGAAAGGAACTAAAAGAAGACAGAGGTAGTTTGGGAGCTTACATGCTGTATCAGTTGCTTTTCTGTAGCCTGCTTCTACCTCCTCTTTGTGTCTGCCCCAAAGAGTGGGACAATGCTGAAAGTGTGGGGAAAGTTTTCTTCTCTTTCTTTTATTGGGTCATTAGAGCTGTACATAATGGGGTGATTCATTGTTACATATTCATACATGCACACAACATGACAATTTAATTTGGCCAATATCATGCCCCAGTAGTTCCCCTCTCCCTCTCCTCCTCTCTCCCCCTGGTCCCTTTGCTCTACTGAACTCCCTTCTATTTTCATGAGACACCACCCCCCACCCTTTTTTTCCTTTTTTCTTCTCTAGCTTCCAGAGATGAGACAAAAACATAACCCTTGACAGAAAGTTTGTCAGGTTTTTGTTCTGTTTTGTTTTAAAGGAATAATTAACAGTACCCAACATCTCACATTCCCATTTGCACAGCCAATTCTGTGCTAGGGTGTTGGTTACTAATTGCCCACCAAGATGAGCACCATGCCTGAACTCTCAAGCAGGATTTACACCAATTTCAGCCTGTATGTACATGTATAGAGCAATTGCAAAATTGTTTTCATGAAATAAAATTCATAAAGTCATCAAACAATTTCCCTGTATCTCACGGTGATTTCTTATGAACAGAAGAGCATCGTTCATCTCTTAACAGGGCTTCCACAGCCTAAGGCTGTGTGCCCCTGTGAGTCAAGAGGAAACACACAGTACAGAAGCAATGCATGACCATCTCAGATGAAAACACAAAATTGGTATCTGTAAACTTCTTTGTACATCATTAATTCATTAGCTCAGAGAAACTAGAAACAGAGTCAGAACGTGAGCAAATACTGGGGTAGTTACATCCACATAGAAAGTACCGCACCTTTGGTTAAAAAGCAGAATCTATGAAGTTATCTTAGTTTTTCAACTGCTCAGCCAGTGCAGCTCCAAGCCAGCCACCATCAGCCACACGTGCAAGCGAGCCAGCATGCTGCCCACTGCAGAGGGCACACCAAATGCTCTTCCTAGATCTAGTCCTCTGCCACAGCCAGCCTCGCCTGCATTAAAAAAGTTGGAGGACTTGGGGAGAGGCCCAGTGCTCATCAGTGGGCTGTGAGATGACACTGTTTTTCAGTGTGGAACAAAACCATAAATTTAATTAATGTATGGGGGGAGGGAAAAGCAATGATGTGCTCTAAAAATTATTTTTTACTCTAAACTATAATCCCTTCATGTGAAGTGTAAGTCCTTTTGCATTTCTAAAACGGCATTAGAGAAAAACAAAGGTCATGCAAGTTTTATTGTGAATTTTAAAAGGGGAAAAGTAGGGAGAGTTTTTTATTTTATAATTGTCCATGCCTTCATTTTTGCTATGAAATGTGTTTTAAGAAACTGGAAAATGAGGCACGGGTAAAAAATTTTAACTGGTACTGCAAACATGAGTTTGATCAAGAGCTTTTCCATGCCAAAGATCCATCTTTTTTGCTTAAGGCCACACTTTAAATTTCCTTTTAATAAGAGAGCCATTCACTTTTAAAAGAACATTAAGCAATGTGGAAGAAATCTGGCTAAAAATACTCTATGTTGGAAGAGACATACATGAAGATGTATTTTTATAAGTATTCTCAAAAAATGCATCAAAAGTACAAATCAAAATAATTTCTAAATATTTCTAACAAGTAATTTGTGATCACTTTGGAAATCAATTTTTTAAAAAATAACATCTCCATCAACTCTGCATCTCTGGACCAACTTCTTGTTTTTAAAGCTCTCCTAGCCAAGGGCTGCTTGGTGGACATTCAAAGGCGTTTAAAAAAAAAATAGTCTTTCTGTGCTGAAAAGTTATCAAGGCCAGCTCTCTGCTGCATTTGCATTGTTATTAGGAAAACACACACACACACACACACACACACACACACACACACACACTCACTCTCTCTCTCTCTCTTTTCTCTCTCACCCGCACATTGAGTTTAATGTGAGGCTAGTACAGAAACAGAGAGATTAGACACAAAGAAATGTAAACAGCTCTCACATGCGAGGAAACTAGGTTACCAGAATCCCAGCACCAGGCATTCACCAGTCACCATGGAAAACAGGAAGTGAGATGCATAGCAACCACAAGCCAAAAAGCAGAAAAGCGCATACCTTTAGCTTGGAATGAAAATCACGAGATTTCCTTCTGGCAAGAACCTGAATGTGACTAGACACCTGCAGGGTAGGGGAAGGGAGGAAAACAAAGGAAAAGCCTGTAACCATGGAGATGAAAAGCCCCCTACAACTGGGCAAGCCAGACGTACCTTAATGGCGGCTTGAATTTCTCGAACTTTCTTTCTTGCTAAGACCTGTATATGACTAGACACCTACATTGTTCGGGTTTATGAGGGGAAACAAAAAACAAAACAAAACAAAACAAAAAAAGGAAATCAAAGATAAAATCGCTACTCCTCGGGAGGGGTGTGGGGAGGGGGGAGGTTATTTGCATCTCAACAAAGCTCTGCAGTTAGGAATACACAGTCCCAGCCAGACACCAAGCCCCCAGCACTGCTCTAAGCTTTTCAGACTGGGTCATCACTGCAGTGACTTGATTCAGGACTAAAGTTGAGGCTCACCTCTGTTTCTCTACCCGGGAAAAATCACGGGCATTGGGAAAAACTTATTATGGGAGGGATGAGAGGGGGAGAGTAGGATTGCTTTCTTTATAAAATTAAAAAAAAAAAGGTGGGGGTAGTGGTAAATGAAAATATTTATAGCTTCTCAGCATCAGTAGGGAAAATCCCTTTTTCTCGATTTAGAGGAGACGATCCATAAATTAGCACATAGTACAGAATCAAAAAGCTGAAGCTGTCGGTTGTATTCTGATCTCATTAAGAGCTCTGGATTCTGTAGCAAATGTTAAAATAATACTGACATGTAAATTAGATTTCAAAGAGAAATGGAAAGACCCAGTTAGCAGAGCTTTTTTTTTTTTTTCTTTTCCTTTTTTTTCTTTGCCCTTATAAATATCTTTAATCCTTCCACTCTTTTGGGTATTGACTGGGTGCCAAGTGGATTTGCATATTATTACAAAGCGAAATGTGTGAATACAGCCAGCCAGCCAGCCATCCTGTTAAAAATCTGGGTTGAAAACCACACGGATTTGCTGAACAACAAATTCACATTGGAGAGGTATCACCAACTGCTGCCTAAAAACATCCCCAGGATGCCGGGGTGTGGAAACGTAGCCAAGTCCAGCTTCTGAAACACAATGATTCCACTGGGTAAACAAATTTGCATCTCTTTCAATGAGACTTGGTTAAATTTAGAAGAGTCCCCCAGTGAAGGGGGTCACCAGGCAAAGGACCAGAGCTCACCGGCCAGCAGACAGCCCAGGTCCAGCATTTTCAACAGGTAAGGGATTAGCTTTGCCCATCTCCAAAATTCAGAACCTTCCATTTAGGAGTTTAGGGGCTCAGACTTTAGGGCGATTAACTCGTTTCAAACTCTAGTGACTCTAAAAACAGAATTTATGGTAATAAAAGATCCTTTGATCTTTAAATGTCTTTGCATTTCAATTATTCAATTTTCTTTTGTACTTTTTTTTTTTTTAAGTACAGAGAAGCAGGGACTCCCCCATCCTCTTCACCCCTCCATCTGGCTCCTGCTGTTATTTGTTTTCACCCGAATTTTGTTCCTCTGTGATTCTCTGAATTGATGAGGGCCACCGTGGGGGGACATCCCCCAAGCAGACAATGCCCTGCCTCTGTGCTGGCAGGCAGCCACCCCCTTGTGCTGAGTCAGCACAGGCCCTGGGGGTAAATGGAGCATTCCCAGGAAAAGGCCTCAGCCCCTCACCAACACTCACAAAACAACCCCTCATTGGGAAGGGAACCGGCTGTTGCTTGGTGGTAATGTGAGACCACAGGTTAGCTTGTTTTTTTTTTTGTTTGATTGTTATTATTTTTTTTTAAAGACGGGATTCAAGTTGCCCAGGTTGGCTACAAACTTACGATCCTCCCATCTCAGCCTCCCAAGTTGCTGGGATTACAGGCGTGCGCCACCACACCTGGCAAACTACATTTTATAAAGTTGTGCCATATCATTCAGCATAGGTCAACACTTGAAAAAACAATTTTTTTTTTTTTTTTGGTTAATAACTCACCCATGAGATGTTTTTTCTGTTTTCCTTTCTCTCTTTCTGTTTTCAGTTAAACACTAACTAACTTCTCATCCATTCCAGTTCTGAACTGGGTCACATCAGCGATTTGGGCTGCTTTACATCTGAAAGGGCCAGGGAAGGCAGAGCCCTGGCAAAGGGCAGAGGAGAATCCCTGCCCCTGCCCTGCACAGAGGTATTTAAGTTGTAACTTCATTTCAGTCACGGCAGCTACTGACAAAAAGCCATTGCTTAAGCGACAGTGCCCTGGATGCACATCATTCAGTATCACGCTTGGGCCGATACTCAAGGCTGCCAGCGTTACTTTTGCATTGAAAGGATGACTAATGTGTAATTGCTCCAGGATATTACAGTGCACAAAATCTCAAAATTGCATGACTTGCAGGTGTAGTTACACCTGCAGCTTTTGCAATGTTGACACATACATGTTTTGGGAAAGAAATGCCAGTTTTGAAATACAGCATAGGGACAGCGGAGACACTGTCCTTCGCACGGAAACTTTCCCACATCAAATGAAAAGAACTTGAGAGACCACATACTCAAGGGTCACTGAAATGATGAACAGTGAAAACAGCCAATTTGAAACACCTACAATGCTGATGTCCTTACAGGGAACTGGGACTGGGGCTCCTAGGAGCCAAAGCACAGCAGCCACTGCAGCCAGATGCCTCCTGGGGCCATTCGCGGACATGCACAACTCCCAGGGTGGTTACTGTACCTGCTTTCTGGTCCTCGTCTTCCCTGTCCTGAGTTTGATGTATCTGGCTATCAGTTCATTCCTACCTGAAAGAAAGAAGCATTTCCAGTGAGGTGGGTCACATACCAACACACATGCATGCCCCTAAAAGCCAGAAATCAGCATCAAGAATTTTAAAATTACACCTAGGAGTTTATTCATGATAGAAAGAAGAAAAAAAAAAAATCAGTATGGGCTGGGGCTCAGTGGCAGAGTTCTTGCCTGGCACACGTGAGGCACTGGGTTCGATCCACATACAAAAATAAGCAAATAAAATAAAAGTCATGCTGCCCATTTACAACTACAATTTTTTTTTCAGTAGGATTCTTTGAAAAAAAATATCTACTAGGGGAAATAAAGAGAAAGGGCACTTAATTTTAAACTTTTGCTCTGTTGAGGCCAGAAATGGATCTTTGTAAACTGTGCCTTTTTGTTTGCATCTAAATGGGTAGTCACTTCGAAAAGTAACAAATATAAAGGATTAGTCTGGAAGTAAACAAACCCAGCTCTGTTTTAATCTTTTATTTTTCAGGTTCATTTTCCTCCTCATCCCTCATCAGGGCTCCTCCCTGTAGATATGTCCAGTTAAAGTCATTATTGCCACAAGAGAATGAATCCCTGTGGCCACAGAAGCCCTACAGTGACAAGAAGCTGAGCAGAGTGAAAGCAGTAACTAATGGCACAAGATTGTGCCAGTGGAAACCTGACAAACTCCAAGCTTTAGAACCTTTTTGGGTTTAAAACACACAGGCATACACACACACACACCCCTACCTAAAAGTAAACAAAAACCCGCCATCTCTACCCCACCAGGAGGCTGTGAAGTTACACACAGAGAGCTTAACTTGGAAGAACTATAATAGGAAAATACATCCCCAGAGGCTAGCAGAGAAACGTATTTACTAAGATCCCATGTGAAATAAAAGCCTACTCTGCAAGATGTGGGCCTTCAAGAGGGTCCAATTTATGACTTCAACTTTTTCACTAGGAACTGAAAATATTTTTACATACTCTGTGCAATAAATGGAAAACTCTCACTTCACAGCACTGCTTTTGGCTGCCGGTAACCTATTTCATCCTACTGTCCCAGATGTTGTGGAACACCTATAAAACTTAAATATATGTAGTATAATATGTAATATAATTATATAATAACATAATTATAGTATAACAGGATCGTTATAATATAGTAATATTAATATTATATAAGCTCTGGATTATTATTTCCAAACTATTTTAATGGACCTGGGTCAATTTCCTTGGAATCCTCACAAAATTGAAAACAGAGGTCTTGATGGACTAATCAATTCCATCCTAATGAGAACTCCTTTGGGCTGCAGCATTCCTTCACATGCTTATTGCCCGCCAGGGGGCTGTCAAGCTGGAGTCCAGTTCTCCTTCCAGGGCCACCCCTCAGGAAGTCTTGAACCACCCAAGTGGGTTTGGCTTTCTTGCTCTACCTGCAGCACAACCTGCATTTCTCCCTCCTGACATGTTCCACTCTGTGGCTACAGTCCGAATGGCAGAGCTGGCTATGTCATTTGTGTTCTAACTTCCCAACTATACTGTATACCCCAAGAGGGCAAGAACTATGTCTTGCTCCCCAGGATCCCCCTAGTACCCTGCAAGTACACAAAGACTGAAAAGGGAAATAACACAGCCTTATGAAGGAGTAACCATGTCACCAGATCTCCCCAGCAGAGTCAACAAAGAAGGACACGGATGAGGATCACCACGACAGTATGCGCATGGACGTTGTGTCTGAGATTCCAATCTCCAACACTACCCAGAATGTCCTGTAATCATGGCACTCCCTGCCCACCTCCTGCCCATGTTAGGATTGTGCAGGACATGGTCACCACCAGAAGGCAAATAAATCATGGATTCTTGGAGGTAGAAAATGAGTCATACACTTCCACCCTGAAATTCCAAATCTGCATAAGCCAAAGTCAGCACTTCTGCGAATTGAAGAAGAATCTTGAAATACGTTTAAGAATAAAATGATCTTATTTATTTGGGCTTCCTGTAACTTTCATCCAAGTCCTTCTTATTCCTCTTAATAAGAATAAGGCTAGTCCTTCATGTGCCTAGCTGCCTTTCGAATATCAATAACTGCTCAATTCCTCCTGGAGCTACACACATGCTAAACTTCTATTCCTTTGATAACTGTGAAAGGCTTTGGGACATTCCCAGATACCATCCTGTGATCATCTCTCGTCTACTTTCCTTTCAGAGCCTGGAATTCAGAACTGCCATAATAATCCTGCTATGACAGCAAAGTACGCTTATTACCTTCTCTTCCTAAAACATTCTACCTCTGTAAATGCAGCCTAACACTGTGTTAGATTTTTAAGGATCATGATAAACTTGGGACTTCTAAGTCCTGTTCATATGGGCTACTCCTCAGATACCTCCCTACCATTGTTCCCAGTCTTTTTATACATAGCTGGTATTTTTCAGAGCCAAATGCAAAACCTTACATTTATTTCTACTACATTTCGTCCTGTTAAATTCAGCCTATCATTTCAGCCTGTCAAAATCTTCTCAGGTCTCATTCTGTAACTAAATGTACCCTTTAAGAGTAAAGACCTCCAAAATTCAGTTTCCAGGATTGCTTTGATAAGCATTCTCTTTCTGACTTTTGGAGAACTACCAATATCTCCTGTAGTGTCATCAGGTCTACTTGTCCATCTCTCAAATGGCTGTACAGATTTTGCAATTTGTCTCAAAGGCTCACTGACAGCAAAGCCTAGCTAGGAGTGCCTAATTACCAGGAGCCAGACCTAGAAGACAATGTCTGCAGACAAGCCAAGCATCCTCCAGCTCAGGCTGCACTGTGCTCCCTGTTCAGGGCTGTCTGAGTGGCCAAGAGGAAATAAATCCAGGGCTCTGTATGACATGCAATTTCATCTGAACCTTATCCAGACTGGGGGCGGTGGCGGGGGGGGGGGGGGGAGGTCTCCTGCCCCAAACTTGTTTATTTTCTGTGAATGTAGACAGAAAATGCTTAATAGATGAGACATAGAACCTATACAACTATTCTCATTTTTTAATGGCATTTTGTTGAATAAGATCAATATCCTGGACACCAGGTATAGCCTGTAGTCTATGCTAATGGAACCTTCTGGGGTTAGACAAGACTGTACTTTAATCACACTTTAACTAAATCACTTATAAAAAAAAAAAAAGAATCACTATTTCTAGGGCTGGGGATATAGCTCAGTTGGTTGAGTGCTTGCCTTGCATGCACAAGGTCCTGGGTTCAATCTCCAGTACATATACCCCTGCGCACCCCCCCCACCCTCTGCAAAAAGTTCACTATTTCTACAACGGGCCCTGAGTAGTCAACATAGCCACATTTTCTTGAAAGCTCATCTCAACTCTCATAAGCCTGTTCTTTAGATGAGCAAGACCACCCTTCAATCGCTTGTGTTCTTTCTTTCATACCACATTTCAAGGCATGAATAGTAATTATTTTAAATATTAGAATTGCCTGTTTTAACTAAGAAAGCCCATTCTTGACTCATAGAAACCTAACACATTTTCTCTAATGCTCTAATATTGCTTTTAAAAAAACTAATAAGATTTCAACTCTCGTAATCTAAATTAATAACTTCATTGAACATTTTAATTTGGAAGTACAAGTTAGCCTGTTATCAAGATCAAATTATTTTAAATAATTTCTTAAAGTAGCAAATATACAAAATCCTTTAAATAAAAGCTATCAATGGTATGGCTTTGAGTCTATTAAAATTTGCTGGGTCTAATTCTAAATCTTCCCAGAATTAAGATATACTTACACATTAGAGAAACAAGTGTAGTGTTCCAAACAATTTTGGAATATCTTTTTCATTGCTTAGATTGCACATATATTAGCAATATCAATTAAGTTCTGATTGGACACCCTGAGATCTATTTGCGTTTCTACAGTCCTGCTCTCTAAATGCAGTGGTCTATATAGCCCTGGATTTGAATCATGTTACTAAGGTGCAGAATTCCCTGACCAAGAGCAGAGGCTCAGCAACACCAACCATCACTGAAGTAACTGGGGAGGGGTCTCTAGCCTGCACAGCATGATCTTGGTTTGCAGCCACAATTCCAATTTTAGATGTTAGAAATTTTAACCCTTGCTTCTCCAATTCTTCTTGTGCATGCACACATGAACATGCGTGTGAGCCCCACCTCCCTCTCTCTCTCTCTCTCTCATACACAAGCACATACATGCTTAATCCAGTAAGCCTTATATTACAAAAAATGACTTTAAACAAGGTCAATTTTAAAGTTAATTGCTACTTTCTTAAGCCAATCTTGCAGTCACTCAGGGATGATCTCCTCCGTGCTTTCTATCATACCTCTTTGGTGAATCAGGGAAGGATGTATAACGAAAGAAGACGGCATGCCTGCCCACAACAGGTTCACTGTCTCATACAAGGGCTACAACCAGACAGCAAATCAGCTTCACACACCCAGTGGCAGCTATTGCCTTCAAAGAGTTTCTGAAATATGCCTGGATAACAGATCACAAGCAATTTCAAAAATCTAGAAAGGCTTCCCCACAGTACTGGAACATAACCCAGGCCCTTAACAACAGGTTACATTTCCTCCCACATTTTATCATGAAATAGTTTAGACATACAGAAAAAAATTTACGCTAAACACTATATTCCCCCATCCAGATTCTACCACAGGTTGAATATCCCCCATCTGAAATGCTGGAAACTGAAAGTATTTTGAATTTGGGGGTTTTGTATTTTGGAAAATGTACATATCCATAATGAGTATCTTGAGGACAGGACATAAGTCTAAACATGAATTTCATCTATGTTTCACATACACACCTTACACAGCCTGAAGGTAATTTTATACACGATTTTTAGTGCACCTGTGTTTTATCTACAACCTGTTGCATGAGATTCGATGTAGAATTTTCCACTTAAGGTATCAGTTGGCACTCAAAATATTTTGGATTTTGGAGCATTTCAAATATTTAGCTTGAGGATGTTCAACCTATATTCACTTTTTCTATTCTTGCTCTGTCACCTTTCCT